TTTCCTCCGCGTCACCGCCAGCATTTGCTCGCTTACCTTTTATGGTCTCGGTCGTTCTGACGGGTGTGAGGAGGCACCTCGCCCGGGTTCTAAGTTGCATTTTCCTGATGGTGGGCGCCTTTTCAGGTAACTCCTGACCCTCTGTATGCCCATTAATTAACTGAATTATTTCTTTGGGTTTTGCTGCTGTTGTATCACGTTGTAGGAATTCCTTATATATTACGGAGATTAACCCTTTCTTATATATGTGGTCGCACACAGATTTCCCGGACGCCACGTTTAATCCTGTAAAAGCAGCGGGCCCGATCGAGTACGCCAACACATTCTTCATTTGAAAACATTTTGACGGAACGCATTGGGTTTCTTTCTTTTCAAGCTTTTTTCATAAAAAAGTTTTCTGCATAACCACAATCCAGGGATGCACAACCCTCCACGTTGAGAGCTGCAGTGACGGGACGTTGGAGGGGACACCCCCAGAGCTGGCTGTGCACACCGGGACTTCCACGGCCATCACGCCAGGCCTGGGGTTGGCACCATGACCCGCTGAGACTCCCCTGCAGCCGGCAGGCTCAGCGTTGGTTTTCCCGCTGAGCTGGGGCCGCCCCACCGGCCTGTGCAGTTTCCAGCAGAGCTGTCTCTCCCACGTGACTTCATTGCTGCTGCTTCACGATTTTTCTGGAATGTTCTATTGTATCTGTAACTGTCATAAGACGTCTCAACTAGTTCCAGGAAACAGACTAATTATAAATAAGCATAAAAGGCAGACCTTCTGTAACTGTCTCCTTATTTTACTTATCCAAACAAGGCATTCTTTCTCAGGTTCGTTCAACAAACCGGTTTGTTCTCCCTGAATTTACACAGAGAGGAAGACTTGGGTTGCATCCATGTAGATAGAGCACTAACTGATAAACTGATACACTTTAAAAAATCTCATCTAATGGAGTCAAACATTTGAAAACATCTACTTCATTGTAGATGAACAGCTACAGCTATGCTGAGGTCCTCAACCCCGTGACCATGCTTTGGATCTTCTCACCTGGGGTTGGTTAGAATTTTGTGGATCTAAAAGCTTAAGCAGTTTCTGAGGCTCCCTTTCAGGAAGCTGGGACCGGGACCGGGGAGGGTGCGCATGCGAGCAGGTGGCTCGTTGCATGTTTTTGGGGCGTCTGTATCCGCACATGACTCCTGGGGCCGTGCAAACCCCATGAGAACCTTGCTCTCTGGCAACAGCAGGACCTCTGTGGGCCTGAGCTCTTCCTCTGAGGAACAAGAGCTGGACCAAGATCCTGCCCAGTTCGAACTCATTCACTCAACAAGCACTGATGGGGCACCTGCTGCACCAGGCAGCAGGTGTGACTGTTGCAGGTGTCCACAGCTCAAGAAATTGTTGTATTTGTGATGCATGTACACTATGGGGAAACGTGTTGCTGGACTCGAACTCACAACCAGAGCTGTTTTTCAAGCTGGCCTCCAATTCCAGCAGGGCCTTGGGTCACCTGCCCGGTCCAAGTGCCAAGGGAACACCCCACAGGTGTGTGGCTGGTCCCAGGTTCTGATAACTTTCTCTGGGCACTGGCTGAAGGCATCGTGACTCGCCAGGGCTCCGGGAGATCTGGGGCTGCTGGCGGGTGGGGCCCCAGCTCTGAGGCTGTGATTCAGTGACGCAGGCTCCCTGTCCCTCTGCTCGACCATCGGGTGAGACCATGTAAAACCTCAGTGCATACACCACCGTTCCCGAGAACCAAGGGGCAGCAATGGGCATCGTTCACAGCTCGCTGCTGTAACTCAGGCTTTGCCTGTGGGCAGGCCGGCTGCTGTCGGGGAGAGGGGATCTCAGAATGGAGCGGCTGCCGCCTGCCCTCCACAAGCCCGGCTGGGACAAGCAGCTTTTCTTCTGGTCCAGACAGTGAGTGGTGAACGATTTCTTAACCCAGTGCCGCCCAGGCACTACCAGGAGGGGGGCAGAGAAGGGAAAAGCAAAGCAAACGTTTCCCGTTAAATGTACGTTTCCCCGCAGCGAGGGAGCCGGTTCTCACTGCAGGGCCTCGCTGGCTCCTTTCTGAGCGGGCGATGGGTGGGGATAATTGAGGCGTCTTGCATGACTCTTGCTTTCACTGGGGACGCGTTCAGGTTGGACAGGCCGGGGCAGGTGAGCCTGGAATGCTGGCCTGCGCAGCTCGCAGGAATGCCCGCCGCCCTGCTGGCTGCGCTCTCTGGGCACCCGGAGCCCGGAGGAATGATGAACTGCGAGCAGGGGGAAGAAAGAATCCGGGTGCGGGCCCCCGGAGCGCCCGGGCGCAGGGACGGCAGAGCTGGCGCGGAGGCTGGGCACCCCGGGCTCACCCTCAGCACTGCCGCTGGGGCCGGGCCTCATTCTCGGTGGAGGGGGCCGTCCCGTGCACTGAAGAAGGGTTTGCCACATTCCTGGCCTCTTCCCACTAGATGCCAGGAACATCCCCTACCACACCCAGTGGAAAACCAAAAATTACTCCAGACAGTGCCAAATGCTCTGGTCGGGGCATGGAGGCTACGTGAAAACTGTCCCCAGTTGAGAACCACTGGTCTAGACCCCCATAGTCCTGAAACTGCACCGAGATTTGGGACTTGAGTCCTAGGCTGCATCGTAAGTCCCAACTCTGAAGGCAACACCTTGCGCGTAGACGGTCATCGGATGGCAGCTTGGAAGACAGATACCACTCGATTTCTACTCCTAGAGGACACCGGATTATCTACGGGACGGTTAGATGCGATAGTCTATTTGAAAACAACAAAAGGAGGTTCACAGGCTCTACACCCCAGGAAAGTCACCTGCGATGCTAATTTCCACTGCCAGAGGTAAAATGGGAGCGCAATTGCCAGAGCAAAGACCACTACTCCTCTGCAGACCCATCTGTGGCAGCCAAGTCTGACCTGCTAACGTTCCTCTGTTTTGACATTTCTCCTGATTCCCTCTATTTTATGTCTCTTGACTGTCACGACTCCCTCGTGCGCTTACACAGAGCGCCCTGCACACCCCCCTTTGTGAAGGAGACTGTCACCCACACCCGGGCCCCATGGGAAGGTAAATCGAAAACGGGGGGAAATGGTGCACTGGGTGTCACAAAGCATGTGATCCTTGGGATAGGCGTCGTAGAATTAAGTGAACTTTGCTTTCTCTGCCCTTGAAATTTAATCTCATTTTATGAACAGCTCCTCAGTGAGGACTGTCGTCTTCTCAGCAGGTCCCGACGCAGGGACAGGACAGGGCTCTGCCTGTGGTCACTGGGCTGTCCCGACTGCTGGCGCGGAGCACGCTCACTGTTCACAGTATTTCTTGAGGTTACCGTCAATGGTTATTTCCAAGGTAAATGAAAGTCCAATTCATTTTTCTTTGATGTAATATTTAAACGTTGTCATGGTTATGACCTTTTATCATTCACTTAAAATCACTTCCTTGCATTCCAGGCAAAAATAATCAGCTTTCCCTTCATTACTAAGGGGGCTCAGAAGATCATACATATTACTCTGAACTGCTAACTTGAATTTTTTTAAAGAAAATAGAAATCTACCCCCTTGAGTTGTTGGATGATGGTGAACGCTCCAGGGAATTCTTAGACCCCTCTACACGCAGACATCTAATCATGATTGCATGAGGCTGGGATACACTTTTCCTTGCTAATTCAGTTTTTAATTCAACTACCAACTCCTTAAAAATGCTTTCAAACCAATGTCTGTTCTTTACTTTAGAGGTGAATTCTACAGAAGGTAAAATAAGTAAGGAAACACTCTCGCACTCCTTCAGATGTGCCTGTTTTCCTGTGCACCTTGAACTGAGGAAGGCCAGTGAGAAAGTTCATGAGCTGAGATCATTCTCACCTAATCACCTGTTGGTTTCAAGTGATTTTCCCTCACTTATTTATTTTTTTAAAATATGTTTTTATTGACTTTAGAGAGAGAGAAAGGGAGATGGAGAGAGAGAAGCATTGATCAGCTGCCTCCTGCACGCCCCCCACCAGGGATCCAGGCATGTGCCCTGACCAGGAATCGAACCAGCGACCTCGTGGTGCAAGGATGACCACCCCTGAGCACCACCGGCCAGGGCTTCCCACCTTTTAAAGTGTAATTGTGCTTGTCAGCGAGTAAAGATGCGTTAGGATTTCAGCAGTTTGCATGGCACGCACTCACACCTCCGCTGTGCTCGGGACGTGCAGAAGGCATTTATCTAGGGCCCACTATGCACGTGGGCTGGATGGACCACGCGGCGTCTTTCCACACAGAGCTCACAGCCTCGCGAGGAAGTTACCCCAGAACCTCCACCACGCTCCTGCCGTCCAGATGCCAGAGCCGAGTGCCTCAGGCTCGCTCCGGCTTCTCCCGACAACATCGACGCACAGTCACGAGCTGGCATCAGGTGCACGGTCACCACGTTTACCGCAAGAGGCCCCGGCTGCACTGACTCGGGGTGCCCACTGCTGCGGACGGTTCCCAGCGGCCTTGTCAACTCAGGGAAGGGCCAGGAAGCCGTCGGGGCCTCTGTCACTCGCTCAGAGATTTCCAAGCAGAAGCGAACGCCCTGCTTCCCACACGGCAGATGTGATTCCTGGACACACAGCAGGCACCCGGCAGGGAGGCAGCGGCCCTCACCTGCGCCCCGAGACGTTTACAGCGCACCCGAAATGTTCCAGTGACCTCCTGCCCGGTGACAGCGGCCAGTGTACACAGAGGTTGCCGCGTCTCTCCGGCTCCCATAAACAAGATCAGATAAACAGCCGGGCCTATTTCTTGTTAACCCCACATGTTCTGGGGAAAGGCACGCTGTCACAAGACAGGTTTTATAAGTAGGCACCGAAAAACAAAACCCAAGAAGGCCCTGGCCACCGACGCGGTCACGGGGTGGGGCGCAGGCGAAGGCGGTTGAGGAAGCACCTTCGCCCGCCGCCCTGCAGCATTCAAACCAGCTCCGAAACACAGCGGCGGGTAAAACGCACCGCGGAGGCTGCTCCGCCCGCTCCTGTACTTACCGAAGCTGCAACCCAGTGGAAAAGTTTTTAGTTAATCAGAGGACTTATGTAATTATGCAGATCTCCCAAGCCCACTGTTTCCTAAGTGTCTCTGAATTCTCCTCGACTGCAGCCATGGTCTCAGGGTTACTGTTTCTCTGAAGAAAGGATGGGTATCTATACAGCGGTCCTGCAGAAAGTTTATAGGCAAATAACCCCCTTTTTATAGTTTCCTGGGGGGTAAAAACATAAATCTTTCTCCTGACTTCCACGTGGCCAGATTCCAAGCTTGGTGCAGAAAACTCAGTAAATGTGGGAAAATAGAAAACAACGAAGTTCCTTCTCTCCTCTTGATTTCTTTAAGATGCGCTGACTGTTTAAAATAATATCATGGTTGAGTGGAGCTTACACACACACACACACACACACACACACTCACAGTGACTGCGACTTTGCCACAAAGTGGTTTAGTCTGTACGTAAGTTCAAAAGAATTTAGCTTATCCTGAAAAAGAGTAAATACAATTTTAAAATCTTGTAAAAAAAAGACAAAACTAATCTTATAAAAGTCTCAGGTAGAGCAGCATCATAACTGTTCCACTCTTGCTCAACGGCCTCCCAGGGTGGGGGAGAGGAACCGCATCTATCTTTGCATCCCAGACGCAAGCTCGGGTGCGGCACATAGTAGGTGCTCAGTGAAAGGTGGTCGGACGATGCCGTCCCTCTGGCAGCAGGCACGAGGTGTGAGTTCTCACTGCTCCAGGCTCCTTCTCTTTAGGAGGCCTCATAGCTGCTGGCGGGTCCAAGCTCTAGGTGGGGTGTCCCCCCAGTGTCCTGTCTCATCGGTTTCACACCATGGCCTCACTGATGGGTCCTTAGCCTCAAGCGAGCGGTCTCCACACCGGGCAGGTGTCCCCTGCCGTCCACAAGGACCCCCCGGGGAGCGGGGCTCAGCAGCATTTTGCGGCTGTGCCCTTTCCTAACGCAGACCCACCCGCACGTGTCCGGGCCCCGGGCCGCCTCCTCGCCTCCCTTTCCCATCACTCTGTTGCCTGTGGTCTAAGGTAAGTGCTCCAGCCTCAGCGCAGACCCTTCGAGGGCCACACGGGACAGCAGGGGGCCTGGCTTGGCTGCACCGCGTCAGAGCGGCCCAGCTCACGGTGCCCTCTCTGTCCCTCCTCCCACCCACGAGTCCAAATATCCACCTTGGAATCGGCGTTAGGGACTGACAGGGTCTTTTCAGGAAAGTAGTCACATTTTTTATCAGGAAAAGGAAGCCCGGCGGCAGGTGCGTGTGTCGAGGAGTCACAGGCTCTCTTACAGCCAGGTCACAGCCCAGGGCCGTGGAGGGGGCAGGGGGTTCAGAGCCGACTGTCCTGTGCGGCTCCTTACCCACTGCCCCGCCCTGACCAGGCATCAAACGGGAAATGAGGGCATTGTCACAGGGCTACTCCAAGGAGATGAGGTGTGTCACACCATCCCTGGGAAGGCGGGGAAGTGCCCTGCGACGTGGACACTCACACACGCGTCATCCCGGGCGCGCTCTGGCTTCCTGTGGCACCGCGTCGGCCCGAAGTGCTCACGGCCCCACCGGGCTAGTCTCACCTTCAGGGGGTGCCGCCTGAATGGGGTTCCGGGCCACGGGCTCCTACCGGCAGAGGCGGCTTCTCTACGTGGCCCAGTTCCCAGCGCGCCCTGGTCCACGGCAGGCGGTCAACGCTGGGCGCTCGCCCGCCGAGCTGGGCTGAAGCGCGAATGACAAGGAGCCGGGCCATGAGGTCCTGCCCGGCGCGACCAATGCGTGAAAACCAGCGGGAGCTGGCACTGCCAGCGGAGTCTGCGGCTGTGCAGGGTCGTCTGCGTGAGTCGGGGCTGTGTGGCTGAGAGGGGGTGGGATGGGGACTCGCCCCCCGGAGGGCCTGCGGATGACGCGCCTGCCCTGTGGGCCTGGACCTGCTCCAGCGCGGGGCTGACCTCCTAACCTTCGCCCAGTGCGGGTCTGAAGACCGTCCCGTAAGAGCCCGACAGTCCTGGGAGGGGACGGGAAAGGAAATGTGGTTACCCCCAGGGACACGGCCTTTCTACAGGAGCCTGCTGACCACCTCTCCTGAGAGGGATGTATGCCCGTGGGAAGGAGGCTCCGCCTCGTTGCTGCCCCTTTCAGCCTTACTTTAAAAATAATTTGTCATCAACTTAAAGTGACGTAACAGTAAAGTCTCACTTCCAGGCTGAGAAATCTTTTTGCCATTGATACCAAAAGAAAGGGCGGATGCACAGCCTGACTCTGAGGTCTCACACCTTCTCTGAGACCCTGAATTTTCTAATAAAATCTTGGCTTTCCTTGTAGGTTTCTGTCATTTCTATGCAGTGACCCTGAGTCCCAGGATTCAAAATTTTGATTACAAGACAACCAACACATAGAAAAACGCGCAAATAAAAAAGGTACAAGTTCACGAATTCTTCACCAAACGACCGCGTCTGCGTGATCAGCGCCGATGCCGAGAAACGGGACAACACCGGCTTTTCAGAAAACACACCTGAGGCCCCCGTGCTTCAAATAAAGGTGGCAAAAGAGACCAAAGAGATGGAAATACGCATAGAACAGACGGAGTGGGCACACACTGACCTGACCAAGTGTGACTTGAACAGGATACAAACTTAGCACATGCAAATTAATCCAAAAACTACCCAGGGCACTGCTGTGCCCAATCAATCAATCAATCAATTGATCATCGATCTCTCTATTTTTTTATTTGTCTGTCTATCTGTGCTCTCCCTCCACCCTCGCCCCCTTTTCCTTCGTGGCTCCAAATGTTAAAGACAGAAACATTCCATTTAGGGGAAAAAGTTCACTTCTAAACAGTGCTGTGAAGGCTGCGATTTCTACAACATCGCCTCACGAGCTGATTAAAACGGCAAACGCTGGCCCTGGCCGGGTGTCAGCTGGTGAGAGCTTAGTCCCGATAGGCCACGGTTGCGGGTTCGATCCCTGGTCAGGGCACATACAAGGATCAAACAATGATGCAGAAGCAAGTGGAGCAGCAAACCGATGTTTCTCCCCCCCCACTCTCTCAGGGGCTCCCCTGGAGCCCCCAGAGCCTGTTCCCCGACTTCCTGTGAATCTCTGGCTCTTTAAAAATAAGACGTGAGCAGCAAAAACCTTTGCTATCGCAGCAAACACGGCTCCTATTCATATAAGGTGGTTAGTGTTTTGTTTTTAGTATTTTTTCCCCCCCTAAGAACTACAACAATTAAAAAAGTGCACAGAGGGGATAAATGGTGATGAAAAAAAGAAAAAAAAAGAAAAATCTTCTTAACTTCTCTATTAAATAAAGGGATATTACTGAGAGAAATAAGATCAAAGTATGAAGTTCACACTACTCGCGACTCTACAGAGTGTTTTGAAAGTGAACTTAACGCTTGAAAACATTAGGACCCGCACCACGGCATCCTTAGCCCTTTCCTCCTAGCCATGGAGCTTTTTCTCCCCTTAACATTAAATTTAAAAAAGCTAACCATAAAGTTAATATTCAAAGAAAATAAACGTCTGCCCCCAAAGCCTTACATGTCGGGAGCGACGGTCCCTTTCCCGGCGCCCCTGTGCTTTCTAATGGCCCGCACGGCCCCTCCCATGGCCCCGCCGGCAGGGCTCCAGAGCACTCGGGCCGGAGACAGCGGCTCGGAGGCTGGACCCCCTTCCAGCCCGCTTGGGAGCAAACGTCCCGTAAATCTTCCTGCTGTTTAAAGCAACCACACTACCAGCAATGCCCGCGAGATAAATGGTCATCTTTGAACTGTGAGCTTTTCCATTTTTGGTGTTTCTTGCAGCAAAAGCCATTTATTTTTACTCACAGATTTAAAACAACTTTAAAAATAACTTTTATATGCTGCTGGTAAGAATCAGCGAGTCTCTAGGGTATGTTAATTCACGACCAGTGTGTTACTTTGCCAATTTGAAAATGGTGATAGGTAGATAGATAGGGGGGGGGAGAGAGAAGGGGAGACGGAAGAGTGTTGGGGAGACGGGCGGATGGGCGCTCTCACGGCCCCGCCACGCACCTGCAGGCCTTCCTATCAGGAGTCAGGTGAACAGGAAAGCTGTGGACTCTGAGGCTGGAGTCCCAGGTGACAGTGGCGGGTCCTGGGTCTCGGTGCTGTGCCTCAAAGCGCCCCCCGGGGCAGTAACCGGTCCCCGAAACAGCTCAGTAATTTCAGATCACACGACGCTGGAGGGGGCTGCGGCAGGGTGCTGGCCTCCTGCGGGTGAGAGGGCCGGGCATCCGGGCACAGGAGGACTCAGGGCAGCCTGGGGAGGTGCGTGGCCGCCCTGCGGGGTGAGCTGCGGGGTGAGGAGAGAGAGGACGAGTAGGAGGAGACAGACAAGAAGTGGGGCCTCCTCAACGGCGGTAATAAAGCCCCAGCGTGCAAACAACCAGGGGCGACGCTGCAGCAATGAAGCTTCATTTCACAGTGGGCCCTGCGCACGGGCTCCCAGTCAGAGGCAGGGCCCACCGTGCCTGGGCTACGAGCTCGGGGCAGTGACATGAAAGTGCCAACCCCAGGCTCTTCATGGACAACAGGGATTGCAAGGTCGTGGGGAGGGTTAGAGGTCACAGTGGTGAGGGGTAGAGGTCACGGTGGTGAGGGACAGAGGTCATGGTGGTGAGGGGCAGAGGTCACGGTGGTGAGGGGCAGAGGCTGCACTGGTGAGGGGCAGAGGTCACGGTGGTGAGGGGCAGAGGTCACGGTGGTGAGAGGCAGGGGTCACGGTGGTGAGGGGCAGAGGTCACGGTGGTGAGGGTTAGAGGTCACGGTGGTGAGGGGCAGAAGTTGCAGTGGTGAGGGGCAGAGGTCACGGTGGTGAGGGGCAGAAGTTGCAGTGGTGAGGGGCAGAGGCCACGGTGGTGAGGGGCAGAGGTCACGGTGGTGAGGGGCAGGGGTCACGGTGGTGAGGGGCAGAGGCCACAGTGGTGAGGGGCAGAGGCCGCAGTGGTGAGGCTTACAGATCACAGTGAGAGCCAGCACTTCGGACAGTGATAACATCCAGTGCTTCTGGAATGTTCTCTAGGGACAGGCCCGGAGCCTGTCCTCTCGGCTGTCCCGTGATAAGCACCGTGATTACCCTCGTTTGGCAGGTGAGGAAACCAGGGCTTAGGTGCTCACTCAACTTGGCCAACACCACCCTGAAGCTAGGGCGGGGCTCAGCTCCCACTCCTGTGCCTCCCTGCACATGTGGAGGAAGGAAAAGCCTCAATAAATAACTTTAACCCCAAAAGGCCCCACACAGCAGCCCTTGAGAGTTTTTTTTGGTACATTTTTTTTGGTTTTATGTATTTATATTTT